TCCATAAGTTCATCTCTGAGGCTCTCCATCTCTCCCAGTGTTTCTTAAATAAAATTCCAGTCTTCATATTACTTTAAATGATACATTTTTTTTTTTAATACTTCATATTATTTGCCTATTTGTCAAGCTTGAGTTGCGACTGATACTTCTGAAAGGTGAAGCCCTCCAGGGCTTTGTATCTGCCTAAAGGCTTTGTTGGCTTGGAATTAGGACTTTTGCCCATACAAACAATCCAATGCATTAATATCCCAGGATCCAAATTTTGCTTATACTGTGATTAAGAAACTGCTTAATATTTGTAAAATCTCTGCATAGAGAAACCTTAACTCTTACACAGAGTGTCAATTTCTTCTGCTATGAAAAACAAGATTTAAGCTCATTTTGTTTAGGTGCAAATAACCTACCGACAAGATTGCATAACTCATTCATCTACAGAAAGAGAGCACTTTTGTGTTTAAATTACGTTATGTCTCTGGCCCTCCATCTATGTTTTCAGAATCAGATTTTATTTAGTTGTATATTCAAAGTTTTTCATCAGTTTTTGCAAGAACTGAAAGACTAAAAATCTGAGCATTGTGCTTCCTAGAGACCTCATTGAATAAGGATTTGCCAAAAAGCTCTTGCCATGCTTTTTTTCTCCAGCTTTGGTTTTGAGCTTTGGTGGAGTTTAAGCTTATTTTGTTCAGACACGGACAGTGGTATGAGTTGCACAATCCAATCCTGTTAAATGTATTGTGCAAGCTGTCTGTAACAAAGTCCTAAGTTTTAATGCTATAGGTGAATAATTTGTGGGTGTAGTGAGTGTTGGTTTTATATAGCACAAAAGAACAAGGCAATGAAGTTTTACTTTCATGTGATATTAATATCTTACACCTAGCAATGAGTATATGTTGATGTATTGTACTGAACACAAGAAACTTCACCCATTTGAGTGCATTAGGACAACATCTTAGATGCTCTGGAAAATAAGCACAGTATACTTTAGGTAGTGGAATATCAACAGTAACTGCATTCACATTTCACTTTAATGTTTCCTTGCTCTTCTAGATCCCTTATTGGAACAGAGACAGAGGCACCAATTAAGCAGTGCCCCGTTTGTCGGATCTACATTGAGCGAAACGAGGGCTGTGCTCAGATGATGTGCAAGAATTGCAAGCATACGTTTTGCTGGTACTGTCTACAGAACTTGGATGTAAGTGCTGCAGAAAAAGCACCTAGAGTAACAGGGTTGAGCTTAGTGTGAGGCCCTGTCCAAGCTCTTCATTAATTCATCACTGTCCTAGCAAATATCTTGCTTTAATTCAGCTTCTGACTCAATTTCTTTCTCATCTTTCACCCAGGGCTTTTATTTCTATAACTATTTTTTTTTCCCCCCATGAAGGTTAATGACATATCTGTGGGTCCCATGCTGGTTCTTTGAGGGAAATAGGATGGACCAATTGCTTTCTGGAGGTTCTTTCCAGCAACACCTTGCTCTTATTCCCTCTTCCAGTAGCTAAAAAACATTTGCTTGAGAGAGAGGGCAATAAGTGTCGTCCACCTGCTTCAACAGCAATGGACACAGCCTGTCCAGTTGCTGGTATGATACTGATTGAAGGGGGTTGTTCCATGGTAGAGTGCTTAAGAACTCATATGGACTCCTTTGCTGGTCCATCTCTTGTGCCGTGTTTGCTGAAGAGAATGGTTGGTTGGGAAGCTTGAGGATAAAAATGTTGGATTATGAGCCTGGATTGGGAAGTGCACGTTGGTTTCTCAAGGGTTGTGAACTAGTCTCAACTCGTGTTTCTTAGCAGATGTAAGAGTCCCGGAAGTAATGTGCTCGTGTATGTGGCAGTTTGCCGTTTTGGCACAGACATCACTAATAACTGTGGGAGTGTGAAAAGGACGTTACCAGCACTTGAAACAAAATGTTATGTGCTGTATGGCTTTTCTTGCCCTCTCTTCTGTACTGCAACTCCTGTGGCAGCGAACAAACAATGAGACTTCCTCATTCTTCATCCTTCCTTTGCTCATCATGCTAAACAGGTTTCACTTGGTGTTGTGTCCCATTTCCATGTGGATGGGCATGCTTTCTCAGTGTGAGTCTTACAGCTTGCTTCAGAGTACATCCAGTACACGGTGATTGCTTAACACTGTGCTGAACTGGAAGAGGGTCAGATTCTTGCAGGCTCTGCAATTATGCCCTTATGGAGTTTTTGTCAGTTCAAAGCGAGAAGGAGGAAAAGAAATTGTAGTTGTGAGGTTCAAATGTACTTTTTTTAAATGTTCAGGGTTACAGGAACTCTGGGCATAGATGAAGGTAGTATGTGCAAAGGCAGCGAGTAGGGCTGAAAAATGAAAGGGGAAGCAGCATCAGGTTACAGCACAGCTGGCTGAGGGAGGGTAGTGGAGGGCGTGAGTCACCTTCTGAAACAAATCAGTGATTGAGTAAGTATTAATGAGAAAAGAGAAGGGAAACGTGATTTTTCTGCTTTTTAATTTTCCAGGAAAGTCTAGGATGAAAATTCCTATAAAGCATAGGTAGAGCAGGAGAACAGCAAGTAGAAGCACCTCAGGAAAATGATCGCTCACACTGCTAGTTTTCGGAGATACCTGATGTTTTCAGGCCCCTTTAGTATCATCAAATTACAGACCAGGTTCTTGTGCAACAGGTACAACTCACAGGCTTATGCTTCTTCAAAGTGGGGGAGGAAATATACTGGCTGATAGCTGAGGTGCCAAACACAGGCCAATTTTTGAAACTGTGAGAAGATTCTTTAGGTAGTTTTTTAGAAGAGAGGTGAACTTGTCTGGCAATTTTAAAGCAGTGACAGGAAGGTTGTGTTTCCAGTCCGGTCTCAAACCACTCCCTGCAGTACTGTAACCTGCTCTTAGAGCTTCTCCTTTTGTTTTTCAGAATGATATCTTCTTACGACATTACGACAGAGGCCCTTGCAGAAACAAGCTTGGCCACTCACGGGCTTCAGTGATGTGGAACAGAACGCAGGTGTGTTCCCAGCCAGCTGAGCAGAGCTCTCATGCATGCATGAAGCAAAGAAATTTTACCCTTCAAGGAAGTACCAAGAGGATTATTTTCATTTTTTCATCTACCCTTTTTTTGTGACCTGTGCAATGCTTATGCATGCACAAGTGTACTTTATTTTCCACATTAACTAAATACATGTTTTTCACCACCATGTCTTTCAGGTTGTGGGGATCCTCGTTGGACTAGGTATCATAGCACTGGTGACCTCTCCCTTGCTGCTCGTGGCATCTCCATGCATCATCTGCTGCATTTGCAAATCTTGCAGGAGCAAAAAGAAAAAACACAGCCCACCAACAACCTAAAACTCTGTGTCTGTTTGAGTCTCCACCTGTACAGCATATGTATGTGAGAAAGTGCAATGGTTGTATTTTGGTGCCACACCAGTGCTCCTTTTTTTCTGCCAATTCTTGGGATAAGTGCCTATTCTTTACAGGCTTTCTCTAACAAATCCTAGTGTGGGAAAGATCTAGATTATTGTGCAGTACGTATTGTGTAGGCTTTTACTTCCTGAAAAAGAAACCAGTTCAGCATTCAGTAGACCATACCATGAGGCACCTTTCAAGATTGCTAGAACTTTCCCATTTTCCATCAGCTGCACATGACTTGATCCTGCAGTGTTACCCTGCCTTTGCAGATCTAGTCATTACTGTTGTGCTTTCTGTTGGTTCTTGGTGACACTCAGATTACTCAGAAAGTTTTGGGTATTTTGTAAAAGAGGGAGAGGGAAAAGCCTGATTTTGATCTTCTCTCTGGTAGCTGGTGTCCTGTTAAAGGTAACAAACCATTAGGAAGTGGATTTGGTGATTTCCTATCGATTGGCTGCCATGGCATTTCGTTCATCATTGAAATCAATGTGATTTTTACTATTGATCTCAATTACAGAAACAAAAAGCCAGCAAAACTCTTTCCAACTAAGACAGGGCTCTCTTCTGAGAGACTGGGCTACACTGAGAAAGCTGCTATTTCTTTCAGTTCAAACATGATGTATCTATCATGAAATATGAGGAGTATGCATATTTCCCTGCCACTGGGCATGCATTATGTCAGTAAAATGGGTGTAGCAAACTCACCATGAAGCTAATATTTTAAGAAAGGTCATGATACAGTTCCCATGCCATGCACAGTGTTGGGATCTTGGTTGTGTGTGCATAGAGTGGCTGCATGGGCATGAGTCTACTGGGTACATATGTACAATGTATTTTCTAGGCAATCAGTGTACTTTTTTCCGCAGTTTACATAGGGTGGCAGCAAGAACCCTGTTAAAAAGTTATTGAGACCAGACTAAGTCAAGTCCTCCTTTAAAACTTAATGGACCCGCTGAAGAGAATATCTGGGAAATGCTGTGTAAATGTGAGCTCCATCCACTGGTGGGTATTTCTTTTGTCCTGCTCAAGGTCAACATACTTTGTTACCAGTATTTTTCAGTTACTCTAAATCTAGAAGGCCGTCATTTAATGGACCCTTCATTTTAATTTTGTGCCTCACCACCAGACTAATTCAGACCCTGGTATCAGTTACACTTGTGTAAGTTCACTGAAAGAGCTGGAGTTACTCCAGGCTTGCTCAGGAGAAGCTGTGATCAGACTCTGCTCCCTGGAGTTTGTTTCCTTAATGGCTGGTGCTCCTCACAACTGGGGCTGGGGGCGCTTTTGTTCTGCCCTCCCGCCTGTGCATTGTATATCTGTGGGAACAGACACGAGTTTGCACTGTGTAATTGGTTGTAATTCCAAACCCCTTTCTGTAGGGGCCGCAAGGTTTAAATGAGATGCTGAGGCTGAGCGTTGTGTCGGGCTCACACTCTGCCAGGCTGCCCTTCTCCATGCACACAGTGCAGGTCACCCCAAGAGCGTCTGTGCTGTTGTGTTTGGCCGAGCCTCAGGAACTTTGCCTACTTGGCAGCTGTAAATGTGACCCTACTTTTGTTTCACT